TTTTTTTAGATGTCTATCATATATAATTGGCTTTTTCTTCGAAGGGCCATAATCGATACTCTCCAATCTTATGGTCCAAGTTTATTATAAGATTGCTTTAGTAAAAAAAACAACATACAAAATCTTTAACTATTTTGCAATTGTAATTTTTTAAATTATAAATGCATTAAAGTATTTTAATTTTTTCAATTGATTTTCTGATCAACCCGTTTTCCGCTGTGATAATATACTTGTGTATAAATAACTCTTAATCCCATAGTTTGTAAAGCATCATATTTCTATTTAACAATTTAAGTCGATAGCTTGTATTATTATAACTTTCGGTCTAATTAAAACGATCTATTGAAAAGAAATCTTATAATAACAATTTTCAGAAAATTTTTACACTAATACAAAAATTGATTGTGTACTGAAATTGCGTACTAGTTTACTATACAATTTAAATAACTGAACAAATTGATAGAACATTACATAGAAAGATGGACAGGCAAAGTAAAATTATCACACATTTTTTTCCGAAATTTGTTCCGAAGCTGTAATTGTGAGTATCATGGTTTCACTGCACTTAGAAAGTGTAAAATTATGAAACATATAGATTTTTCTATAAGTAGAAATAAGCAAGCTTCGTTTGTTTAAAAATTGTTGGCAACTAAGCTTGTTCAGAAAAAATAAAAATTATATTTAAAATTTACAGATTACATAAATATTGTTCACATATTCAGTCTCCTATTTTTTCCAAGTTCAAATGAATAAATTCAAATAAATTTCTGTAAAACACTAACATGACAGTAATGGCCCTCTTACCAAAGAGTGTAATATTTTAACAAAGTAAATGGAAGCAAACAAATTGAATCTTTAAGCTGGTATAAATTTTTAAGATTTTTACTTTCAGATTTTACCTAAATATATGCAAAATTATGTGATAATAAGGAAATAATTTTAATTTAAAGCGTTTCTATTGTTTAGGGTTAACTAAAGCAGTATAAAAAGCTCAAGATCAATACCTACATTATTAAAATAAAATTTGCTATTTTAAAAACAATGCATTTAATAGTATAAAGTTTTTGTTTTTTAAAGTAAATGCTGGAAAATTTTAAATTTTTTGAATACTAAAATTGATAAAAGGAGGAAAAGGAGAAATAAGAGAAAGAATCGGTACCTTCCTTCACAAATTTTAATTTTTTTATCATTATGCATCTTCGATATTATTTCACTTTTATCTATATATATAATCGTGTAAGGATAATAAAAACGAAGAATAGGGATACCGGCCGGTAAAAACCAATTCCAAATTTTTCTTTCATATATGAAAAAATTACTTTATATTTTTTTTTTTCTATTTTTATTCTATCCAATATTCTGTATGAATTTCTTTTACAAAACAGCATTTATACAAAATATGTTAAAAAAAATAATAAAGAAAAATAATAACAATAACAAAAAGTTAGCAAGAAAAAGAGTAGTGTAATCGTTACATAAAAATTTTATGGGGCCCCGATTATATTATTTGTCTGTGTCTGAATTTAATACAAATATGTACTTATATCATTTATATTCTATAATACTCGTATTTGTACATATGTAATGTGCATGGTTTGTATATTTTTATGAATATTATTGTATATAGCATTTAGAATATATAATAAAAAAAAAATCACATGAAAACAACCTGTTGTTATTTGTGAAAAAAAAAAAATAAAAAAAAAATGTACATACATATGTACATATATACGTATATATTTTTTTTTCTGTTATTTATATTATTGTTATTTTAGTCCTTATTTAAGGATATATACATATATACTTTCAATATAAAAATTTACCGTTATAAACATATAAATTTTCTTTTTTATTTTAATTTTTTTTTGATTTTTCTATTTTTTATTTTCTTATATTTTATTTATTCATTTTGTTATTCTTCTTCTATTTCTTTTTTAAGTTCACATAAGTATATTACATTTTTATTCGTTTCTAATGGGCTGAAGATGAGAAATGACGATGATAATAATGATACATATAGCAATTATGATGATGATTGTAATGATGATGATGATGATGATAACGATAGTTAAAATGAATTAAATGTATTATACAATAAATACATACATAATATATGTAAGTATGTATATGTATGCAATATAAATAAATACAAGTATATTTTATGATTTTATTATTATAAATGGATTATATGTAGCTATTATTGTTGAATTATTATTTACATACTTATGTACATAATTATTATAATAATCTTATATAGTTGTTGCACTATTAAACTAATTTACAGATACTTCTATTATGTTATTACAAGTGAAAACATATTAGTACTCTGATATAAGTATATAGACTAAATATTTTTATGTACATATTAAAACATATGTATAGTTTAACACGTTACTCGGTCAGTATTTCCAATGAAATTTACAAAAAAAGAATAGCATTTTTTTAATTATTTTCGTTATTTATAGTTTTTTTAAACACACATGCACATATGTAAATACGTTAGAATTATGTATGAAATGTTTGAACAATTTATTTCAAATAATTTATTTACATTTTCAAATCGAACCCATGTATATGTTATTAATTATTTAATAATTATACATACTACAATAATACAAACCTATATGTTAATACATATAGAACATAATTATTATGACAAAAATTAGGAAATATATTTTCGTTAAAAATTAATTTGATTTTATTTTACAGCTCATAAACGTCGTCATTACAAAAAAAAAGTCTGTACATGCTTAAATTATGAAGTTTACTAATACAACATCATAGTTGCGGAGTTAATAAGAATGTGCTTATTACACTACTAATTTATCTTAATTTATCTGTACATGCTTATTTTCACATTTATGTATTCGCATAACATTTTATAGCGACTTGACTATATGTAAATTAAAACAATTAATGTAAACTGGTATTTATATATTAATGTAGTTGATTAAGAAATAGAATTTATATCCTATCGTGATGCGTAGGATTGATTTTAATTTATTGTAATTATCGCACAATATTTGCATACTGACAATGTTACAAAATAATGGATTTTCTTTGAAATTTTTTGAAAGTTTCTATTAAAATAAGAAAACAATATTTGAGAAAAATAACTATAAAACTTGGCATGCTTGTCAATTTGAAATAAAAATATTTTCTCTATAAATCAGAAATTGTGAACCCTCTATGTAATACACTCCATATTCTATTTGAAAATTTCTATTCGAAGATTATTGTTTTTAAGATTTAATAAACTATTTTTAAAATATTTGAAACAAAAATTTTTTTTTAGTAAACATTGTAATATAAAGAAGAAATCAGTATTATAACATAAGTGACAAAAATAAAAGAAAACTAAGATTTTAAAATTTTGGGGATTTATACATTATGCGCTTTTCTCCTCTAGACATACTTTAAAATGTATAGTTCAAAATGTTAATTTTATAGTAAATGTTCTTAATAATATCATTTCTGATATAATGTTAAGTAATAACGGCTTTGCTGTAACGCTTGCGGAGCTACAGTTTTCCGATCTTGAGTTCATCAGGAGGGTGGGTCTCGAGCGTGTGTTGTAGAGCATGCCCCGCACTTGGAGGGAGGCGCACAATAAATCCTCTGATTGTGACTGAATTACTAAAAAAATAATACACATGTGTATTTAGTACGTATACGTAGTAAACCTAAACCTTAAACTAGCTTGGCAAAGCACATATTTCAATTGCAAGAAATAAATATTCATTCATATTTACAATAATTATAATTGAAGCGTGATAATATTAATAATATAAATGATAGTAACCAAAATTATTAAAAATAAAATTTCTTAAAAATTATTTCTCTTAACCAAGAATTCTGTTAATTAAATACAAAATATTTTTATAGTTTAATTTATACTAGTAGATTGATAAATTCAACCAATATCATTAGACACTCACTCATTTATAGAAAATAATTTCAATTTATACATTAGATTAAGTCATATAAAGCTTATATTAATATATTTAGGATTAAAATAAATGTGATATCTTATAATATAATAAAATGAAATAGAAAATTCTTATATTTAAATATATATATATATATTAATATGTTCACCCACCAGAATTCTATCAATGATATAATGTGAATAATAACTTTACGTATGATGGTGTAAAGAAAAAGAACAATTTAGAAGAGTATATAAAATAATAAAAAGCTATAAATTTTCTAATATTTACCAGTCAAAAGAACGAAAAACAAGTATAAAAAAATTCGACGAAAATGAAAAAAAAGAAATAATTTACTTCTGGTTTAAGTGACTATAATTATGTATTAAATTTTGTCTGTTTCATTTTATGTGAATATAAAAGTCGAAAAAATAAAAATTGCAAAAACAAAATATTATATGAAGAAAAACAAAATTTATTATAAAGCACTCATAATACATTTATTTCTATGTATGTATATAAAATATACGGTTAAATAAAGAAAAAAAAAGGATCTATATAATAAAAGTACATAAATTTTTTATGTTAAGCAATATAGAAATCATAAAATTCGTAAAAGTTCCTTAAAGGATATTAAAAATATATTATTAAGATGGTTATAAACGCATTCAAGATCTCTTTTTTTTGGCTGTGTTGTTATTTGGCTCTTGTTTTTTCATTTATATTTCTTCTTATAGTTTTAAGTGATAATAAAAACGAAAGGAAGATTTTTCTTTTGGAGCATATAACACATAGTAATAAGAAGGACATCATTTTACCATAAAAATGAAAAGATCATATAAAAATATTATGATGTGTTGATGATGACCAAATTATTAACGATGACGATATATTATAATAATATTGTGATTGCACGATAAGATTACGGTTTCATTTTGTTTTCATATTTTACTCTTGAATAACATCTTGTTTCTCATCTTGTTTACTTTCATATTTAATTTTATCTTCTTTTTTCTCTTTCATATTTTGTTTTTCTCCATTAAAATTTTCTTCAAAATTTTTTTCTTCAACTAATGTAAGACGTTCATCATTTGTTAAGGAACGTTTAACTTTCTCATATTTTGCTTGTGCTGTTTCTTGTGTTATTGCTAATCGTTGTTGTACCATACGTTTATTTAATTCTAAATCTTTTGCTTCTTCAATAAGTTTTTCGCATTCGTAATTATCAAATTGATCTTGAAATTTATTTAAAAATTTATTGATAGATTTTACTTCCATGGTTAACTAAAATTTTAAAAATTTATTTATTATTTTTTTACACTCGAATAAAAAATTATTATTGGAATGTTCACAAAAAATTTCTGTTTTCTTACATCTTCATATTTACGTTGCAGATCATTTAATAAACAAACAAAATGTGTTTTCAAATCTAATAAACAATTGTTCATAATATCTTGTGATTCTTTATAATTTGGTTTACGACTAGCATATGGTACAAGATATGGTCCAAGAAAATCAGCATCTTTAATTTTAACTTCAGCTAAACGCTTTTCTTCATCTTCGAACTGGAATATAGAAAGTTGTAATTAATAATTAACGTTGTAATGACGGTAGTTGCACAATAAAAATCGTTTACTTTATTTCAATAAACCTATATGATAAAGTTTAAGAGAGAGAAGTAAGCATTTAACTCGTGTGGAAGCCTTAATATTGCCTTATAAAATGTATTGTTAGCAAATTTATAACAGTTCTATAAAATTAAAAAATATAATGCTGAAGAAAAAGCAATTCTAATCACATAAAATCATTAAATGATAACATGAAAAAATCTATGTTAACGAAATTCTATAATTGTATATTTCGTACAAGCCAAGTTACACAATATAGCGTATCTGCAAATATCAACTAACGCAAGTAATTTCTTATTTCGTTTGTCGTAACCTCATATTTTTGTTGAATATTCAATAGTTTATACATTGTTTAATCTTATCTCATATTATTAAGAAAGGGACTTATTACATCCAAATAACAAAACTATAAGTTGTACAATTTATTTCATTGACTATCGTAAAGGCAATATGAAATACGATAAGAAACATTATGCATCAACAGTAATATCAACGCTTTTCAAGGATTGTCTATTTGAAGGAAAATTTAAACAATTTGAACAATTTTTGAATAATAACACCAACTCTGTATATTTTAGTTGGACGGTATGTGAACATTCGTATTGTTTGTATTGTAATTGTATTATAATAATTTTCTATTTAGTATAATAACTTAAAATTCTTATTGTAAATACTAATATATTTGCATACTTATAGGGGAATGTTATGATTTTACAGCATTAAATTTTTGTATACAAAATAAGTATATACATATGTACGTACACTCATAAGTAAATACCTATTTACTTATAAATACATAAGTAACGAGCCCGAATAATATTTTAGTAGAACATTAGTTTATTGACTGGTTATTTATTAGTAAGCATAATACAAATAATACTATGTGAACAACTATTTAAAATTACTTGAAAATTCACAAGCTAGCGTAACGGGTATCCTTATTGCTACTCTGAAAAGTCCGTACAATTATAGAAAATCAAATTGCTATAGAACTTTTCGAGTATTTAGAAGTATTAATTAAAAAAATGAATAACGTATTTTAATTATTTGACATTTTCTTCATTATAAGAAAAAATTATTAATTTACATAAAATATTTCGACCATTTTATGAGCTTTATATATGTATACATAAAATAGAAAACTTATAGCTTAATGACGTCTGAAAATTAAAATAGGACTTAAAGTATATTTTATATTTAACTTGAGAAATTCTGTGTCTAGTAACGTTAGAACAAGAGCGGCAGTAACAGGATATATTTTAAATCAGAAAAGCATCCCGAAATCCAAAATTATAAAATAGGAACTTAATCCCTAACTTATGTGTTCATAATATTAGACATAACCAAATTTTTAAAATTTATTGAATTAAGAAATTTATATACAACAGGAATAAAATGAACCATCAATGAAAATCAAAAACAAACAGTTCAATCTGGAATTTTACCGATTCTGTAGGAAATTTCCACAAATAGCTAAAACACAAATATGTTTTTCTTAATGGAAAATTATTTTGTATAAACTTTAGGTGAATTAAAAAAAATGTTCCAACTCATTTTATAAAAGAGTTTATCTTCTATTTCAAAATTTGGTCTTTAAAATTTGTAAATAATTACCTCTTTAATCCGAATTACCCTTGCTGCTTGATTTCTCAAAGAATCAAATATTCTAAACATAAGTTTAGGATTTTCGAATTCTTTGCCACGTTTTTCAATAATTTTATCAATTTCTTTTAATCGATTTTCAAATACTTTATCTAAAGTTTCATCATATTTCATTTGAGATAAAAGCAATAGGTATAATTCAAATTCTGTCGGTTTTGGTTCATTTGGATTGGCCTTATAAATGAAATATAATAAAAAAATTAGGGATTAATATAAATTTAAATGTGTTGTGTAATTATCAAAGCATATTGAATATTTTACGTGATATCCTTTTGTTAATTTACTATCAAATAATATCTCTCCGCCATATTTAGGTGGAGGAGGTCGTATAAATTCTCTTGTTGATGTTGTTATAGCATTTTCAGCATATTGAAATTTAAGCCAAATTTTATTGTCTGTTCGTAGAAAACGTCTTTCAAGAATATCTTTACTTGGTTGAACATCATAATTTCTGCTAAACTTTTCAATGACTTTCTGCAATTAAAAATATGTTGTTTATTATTTATTCATTGAATTTTCTTTTTAATTTTTTCTTACCTCTATTTTCATATCTCTTTCACGATATTGTATTTCTTGGTAAATAAGTCTGCAAAAAAAAATGAATTTTTTTGTACTATTGCTGATTCCATACGTGATTAGCTTACCTATCAGATCTTTCTTGAAAATTCATTATAATTTTGTCTTGGTGAATTTCCATATATTCTAATGAATCAAGTCGCGATAATGCATAAAAATACATTTTTTTTGGTACATCTGGACGAGAACCGTGTTCATATTCTGTAAAAATTGTTGATAATGCTTTTACAATTTATTGTAATAACCAAATTATATTTGATTAGGGTACATAACTAGGATTAGTCAAAAACAAATTTAAAGCTATTGCCTTTTTCCAAAATTAAAGACATATTTTTTATTTCAAATTCTTCATAATTTACAAATCAATTTTTTATTATTATTAATGCAGTTAAAAGTATGACGAATTACGAGCCCAAAATCGAAAATTTGTTCAAAAGCAAGTGAAATTAAGTCAGAAATTGAATGAATTCCTATTTATTTCAACACATTTAAAATGCAGGTTTGTGTAGAAATCTTAAAGGAATGGATTTTAAATAAGTTTGAAATAAAGGACAAACATGAGTTTTAATGTATTTCAAAAAAATACACTTGAATATCCTAACATTTTCAACAATTTGTTAAACCCAATTAAAAGTTTTTTTCTCTATTTATTCCAACGCTTTTTAAAAATTTTGCAAATAGTATAACTTTTACATTATATACATTGAACATAATATACATAATTCTATATACATTTGCGAAAAAAAATTCGACGAATTTTCATTAATTCGAAAAATTTAAAAAAACTTTGAAATTCAAAAGGTTATTCCGATAAAAAGAAATTTTATATCAAAGTGAAATCAAGTGATTCTTGCTCTTATTACTAGTAATTTTTAGAAAAAAAGGATACAAGGGTAAGGATGTGAGCGAATAATAATCAAGTTTATATACTTAATTCAAATAAAACGTGTGTACAGATCTATAGATATATATATATCTATATATACAATTAATTACACCTAAAAACCAAGCATATAGTTAATTGAATAATCTCATTATTTCTTACTCATAAGACTATCTGGTCGTCCTTTATGAAATTTCTCTTCGATATCCTCCGTAACAAAGTTTACTTTTAATCTTTCCAACATATCCAAACGATTTTTATACCATTCCCAACGTGTAGTTGCCTCTTTATATTGATTATCGGCAAATATTGTTAATTGTTCAGTTTTTCCATCTTTTCTTGAATACGGTGAATAACGTTCATGAACGGTCTGTTTATAATGAACAGTTTTCGATTCATTTGGATATCTTTGCTCAAATTCACGGTCACCGATATGTAAATTTCCTACCCATGAACGTATTATGTCTAAATGTTTTTCAATATGTGTATCATCTAATTTATCAAGATCTTCATCAGGATCATATTTTTGTACACGCATTTCTAATGGTTCACCAGGTAATAAATGTTCCCAGTCTTCAGTTTTACTTAAATCCCAACGTACATGCTTTGCGCGACATGTTTGACAACTTATATAATAATTGTATTGATTCCAAATTGATTCAACGTAAATATACAATAAGGAATCAGTTTCATATCGAAATCCCGATGATGGTTCTATAAAAAATGCTTTCAATGGATCATAAATAATTTTTCCTTCTTCTGAACGTTTGAATGTACGAGGTTTAATACTCCATGGTGCATTTTCAATTATAACGACCCAAGCATGTCTTCTTCGATTGTGATATTTATCAGAGGATCTTTGTGATAACCACTTAAATATACGATAAATAATAGTTTGAATGAAAATAATTATAATTTTTCTATGAATACCTCAGCTTTTCGTTTAGCTTCCTCAGCTGCTTCAGCATCTATGACAGCTTGCTTTTCTCTGGCTCTTTCATCCAATGCATCTTGTAAATGACTGGTTAAGTCGGGATCATCTTTCAAAACATACCTGGATTCCCATTCATCCAATTCCTCCTTTTTAACAGGTGGTTCCTGATCATCATCAACTAAATATGGGCATTCAAATTTTCGTTGATCATTTAAGGTGATTTCATATCTTGCGAAACCTGATACAACCATTGCGGGGTAACCAGCACCAATTAAAAGACTGGCCAACAAAATTGCCATTTCATATGAATTACCTTGTCGACGACGTAATAATGTCTCTGGTGATATTATAGTTGGCGGCTGTAAAAAAATATGAACTTTAATTAGCATTTTTAATAATTTTATTTTAATTTCAAAACAAATAACCAAATTGATTTTAAGTGGAGTTACATCTAGACATATTCGTAACTAACAAAACGCTCTCAAGTAATATTTGTGATCCTTTTTTAATAAAAATACGAGATTTATTTTTAATTTAAACACTTTGTAAATTTTTCAGAGAGAACAACCTTTTCTTCGCTTTGTTGATTTTAAAAATCATTAGCTATTTTGTTTTGTTTTTTTTTTATTAGCTAAGGGAAATTACGAGAAAAATTCAAAAAGAAAAGAATTCTGCAACATATGACAACAATACCATATAAGGAGGTTTTAGCTTTCCCACACCCACACCCTAAAATTTGCCAGTTTCATAACTATACGTTGTGTATGTCTTGAATTTAAAATCACTTTTCATATTTATCTTAAAAGTCTAAAGAGTCAATCTCATTTTTTCATATACTCTTTAAAAAAATATACATCTCTTTTCCATTATTGGATTCATCCTATTCAAAGAAAATGAATTTTTGAATAATAATTTTCTGTTTAACAAATTATAGCCAATAATTTGCATGATTTAATTTTAATTATAGAAAATTGAAATCAATTCCTGTATTATGTCATACTTCCTGTCCCGTTTTATATTAATCGTGTATCACGAAAAACAATATTTCTTACAATGTTGACTCAAAGCAAAAATATCAATAATAAATTATAAAAGTGAACTACAAATTGCAATAATTTCCTTTGACAACTCTTTATAATTGAATTCACAATTCTATTACTGTAAATAATGCTTCAATTTTTATATAAAAATTGATTTTCATACTAGATTATTATCTGTAATCAGAAATAATAAGGAAAATTAGTTACATATATGGTTTACTAGCCTCTTTTAAATCAATAAATCATCTTAAAGTATAGTCCTTTTATTTTGCTTATTTTTTATACCGAATTACGCCTTTTTATAGATTTTTTTTTCTCTTTTTTTTTCTGTATTTTCCATTCTTCTAATTTTTTAACTCATTTTCTTATTACATATAGTTGATTCATCAAAGAGCCTTTCTATTAACCACTCAAGTGTATTATTATATTTATGTCTATGCAGTACATATTACGGATAGGTTATGAATAACAACATATTACACATATCATATAAGTAGTATTCAATGTGATGTCCAATGGGGAAAATGCGAATCTATTTTTATTCAACAACGTGATTTTGCGATTTTTCTTTGGCAACTTCATCAACCGCATTTACGGCATCAGAAAAAAAATAATCAAAATCATAATAAAAAAAAAGACTAAAACTAAAAATAAAAAAAAAAAATTATCTATGAAATGCTTGGCGATCCATTCGAGTACACATTTCTTATATTATTATAAATATAGCTACATTAACATCCTACATTTATAAGCTAACATCCAAAGTATAATCATCAGATATTATCGTGTTCTATGCTACATTTTGATTTGTGTGTATGGGGACAAAACAAAAAAAAAAAGAGGATCCTCTAATTCATTTCTAGGACGACAAAAAGCTTCATCAGAATAATTTTTTTTTTGTTTTATTTTTTTATTATTTTTTTTTGCTTTTTTGTTTTTTGTTGATGACAGAAAATACAGCAATCATATAAGAAAAATTACAAAGCAAAATAATGCCAAAATAGAAAAAAAAAATTAAACTACAAAAAAAAAAAAAAATCAACACAACAAAGAAAAATTTATAAAGTAGCATAAATATGGAAAAAAGGAGTATACCAAGCTATCCTTTTTGATGAGAACACATTTTCTTTTCTGTTTAGTTCTTTTATGCGCGCCTACTTTTGATATTTTCTCTAATCTGTTCTGTGTTTTTTTTGTTCCTATTTTAATTTTATGTTTTATTATGATCATTTCTGTTATAGTCCTTGGAATGTCCCAAGTAACAACTTTTTCAAATCAATTTTAAAACAGTGAAGAATAACTTTTTTCGAAGAACAGACACTTTATTTTCATATGCTTCAAATTGAAGTAGCTGATTTTTGGAAATAATGATCTTTTTTGATGTAAAAGAAAAGGTACATTAACAATATGTCACATTTACAAGATTTATTGACCCGGTATACCTACAAATTTACATGGATTGGTGCGCACAAAATATTGTACTAACACAAAAAGTGTCTGTTTCGAAAAAAAACTTATTTCTGGGGCATATTATTTAAATTTTTAATAAAAATTAAATGACAGTGGAATCTCTGGAATCCTAATTATAACTAAGTGTGAACGAGTTGTGAATAAGTGTGAACGAGTTGTGAACTTATATATAAGTTTAACTCTATGCATGAATTTTTAAAATGAACAACAAGTATTATGCATTTCTATTTGGAACTCAGTAATTAAAAGTTATGAGAGCATGTGAGAGTATTCGGATTTGTTAATTTTGAATATCAATTAAAATTTTTTAATTTAACTACACTTTTTGACTAAAAAAATATTTACCAAAAAATTTCGTGTCAAAGCCGACTTTTTCTATAATATTTCTTTTCTAGCAACAAATTTTAATTCTACCTGTTTTTAATTTTACTACCAGGGTACCTTATATAAATATATTTTTTGACCGTGTTCTACATGCCCGAGGTTTATTTCTGTTGCTTTCTTTCCTATACTTTTTATTTTGTTTTTTTATTGTTTATTTTCTATATTATGTTTTCTTTTTTCTACTTAAAATATTTTTCATAGGAATGAAATGAAAAAACAAAAAATAGCAGCATTCAGCTAAAAGCTATAGCCATCATTTTGATGAAGGGAAGGACATTTAAGTTTTATATTTTGTTTTTTTTTTTTTATTTTTATTTTTTCGCTTCTATTTTTCTAATTTTTAAAACGAGCGCAGCAATTTTCCTTTTTGTTTTCCTATAGTTTTTTTTTCCTATTTTTATACTCTGTTTTTTTTTGTGATTTTTATTTTTGCTCTCAGTTTCAATAATGAAAAGAAAATGTAGAAACATAAACATGCTTGTATTTGTATTCTACTTAATCATACATTCATACAAACACACACACAAACATTCCCATATCACATTAATTTAAAACGAGTCGTTTAGAAAAATTATAAAGAAAACTCAGAGATTGTTCTTTTAAGTATTTCTTTTTTTTTTTCAAAGTTCATTTTACATTTTACTAGCCACGAGTATCGACATAAAGAAAATAGAAATGATTTTATTTTTGTTGCTGTTGTTTTCATGTTGTGCTCTCCTTTTTTCTATTTTTTGCAATTTATTCTAAAAAAAAAAAATAAAAATAAAATATATTGTTTTTCTTTGCAGTCGTCCTTTTTTTAACTCCTTTTTTTCTCCTCTCAAATTGTATATGAATAACAAAAATCTTTTCTTGTTTTAATTTTATGTTTTCTGAGTGGAAAAAAACAAAAATCAAATAAAAAATTTTTTTTCTTTGAAACTAAATGTTAATAAAAACAAAATAATAAAAATTAATGTGAATAAAAAAAAAATTCAAAGAAGCTACAAAACTATAAAACAAACGAACAACTAAGTTAGCAAAAAACAAAAACCAAAAAAAAAAGGCAGAATAGAGAAAAGGGTAATGGTTCCCTTCTTGGACTCGTAATTATTATTTTTCACTTTGACCACGGTGCATATTGAATACATTTTTATATTTTCATGTTTTGTTCCAATTTAAAACTCTTCTTTTTTGGTGGCTGGTGTATTTTTTCTTCTTCATTTATTGTTTCGTTTTTATTGTTATTAAAAATAAAACAACAAAAAGAAATTTTACATAATCATTTCTAATTTTGATTCTCTGCTCCTTTTCTGTTTTTTTTTTGTCTTTTTGTGTCAAAGCAATTATGAGAAATGGACTCAATAGAAATACGTTGTCATAATTAAAAATAAAAATAAATGAAAAGATTTACAACTGTGAGCTATTCTAAGTAAAAAAAATATTATTATAAAATTTTTAATTTTTCTTAAATTCTATTTAAAAAGTATAATGCAATTAGAAACCTATTAAAGCTGTCGTACAAGATGGGTGCAGTATAAAATAGTTTATCAAATAATAATATTAAAAATAAAATATCTAATAGCTTTGCATTCTAATTTTTATAAGTCTTGTACGATAAATAACACATTTTTTTTATAAACAAAATTGCCAAATAAAACTTATTGCGTATTAAAATTCTGGAACTATAGAAGAACATTTAAAAAACTCGATGACATTTTAATTGCTTATATGTGCATCTTAGATTAAATTCGAAATTTTCTATTATGAAAGTAATACTAGACAATAAGAGTTCTAAAAAATGATTTTTTTTTTGGATTTTATACAAAATATAAAATACTCTTTAATTGCTTGAAAGTTCATTCACCCAAAGAAGAAATGACTTGTTAAAAACCCAGTAAACAGGCATCTTGTGGTGACCATCAAGAATGGTCATTCGCAAAATACTTGAATACACTATACTGTATAGAATACATGAATACGCTATACCATGACTAAATCACCCATACTAATAGAAATTGTACAGAAATTGTTATTACGGTCTCATGAATAATTTGAAAGCGCGATTTTTGAGGTGTTTAGTAATACCTTTTTTTTGTTTTTTTTTGTAAGTTATTCTTACCTTAATATCTCTCGTTTTCTATTATCAATAGAGAAATAAATAATGCAAAGTATCAGACGATCTTAATTTAGGTACACTTTTAAAAGCATGTTCTTTTGCTTTATTGTTTCGTTTACTTTACGTGTTACAATACATAATGTATGGAAGTATGTGTTCTCCATAATCTTATTTCACTAATTTTTTCATTTATCCTTTTACAATACTTTATTTGGATGAAAGATAAAGAAAAGTAAGAAAACGAAACATAAAACAATACAAAGAGTTTAAAAGACAAAAAAAAAGGTATTCTGAGTGATCTGGACCCCAGCTTACCATTTTGGGTGTCTATAATATACACATACATATATATTATTATTATAATAGTAAAGAGGTTTAAATAGTTCACTATATGGAACCACAATCATCATACCCTCAATGTCTGTATCCAGAATATAAGGTTCAATTTGAAATAATGTTTAGAATCAAAATGATATCCGACGTGTGTGCAATTTATACAATTTATATACACACATATTATATGAAGATGAAAGTTAGACCTTTGTTATATTTAAACACAGTTAACTTATTCTTTCAATTTTATTCCTTAAATTATAAATGCCACATATGTATATGAGGTAGTGGACACTATACTTGCAATATCCGTTATATTCGACTTTCATATACATACACCCATATTTTGTTGTACCTTATACTCGATGGGTTGGGGTATACTTGTTAAAGTATATACTATATTTATTTATGGTATGAACGATAGATACATATGTAAATAAATATTTGTAAGACCACCCACACCTACGAAAACTTAAGATTTAAATAAATTTTCTCTTAACTTTCTATAATATGCAAATGTGAGTTTTTGATATTATTCACGTACGCTTTTATATTACATTGTTACAAACTTATCCTATTTAACAATGCAAGCAGCTTTGTCATACATTTACTATGAATTTATTATGTTTATGTAAGTACATGTGCAATATCGGGTATCAGAAATCTTTTATAATATTATATGATGGTTCATATAAACATGATGTACACATGTGTAGGTATGTATGTAGATATTCTTTTCATCTCTTTCTCCTTCTAATTTTAAGTATATTATTTGGTAAAGTAAAAAGTTGTTTTCCAATAAATACATAAAAAATATTGGTTTGAAGTAAGAAAAAGTATGAATTGAATAGAATAAATGAAATATGGTAATAGCGAAATATTGGTAATTACTAGAAAACAAAATAATTGAATAAATTTTAAATAGAAAAAGGTAAATATGTTCTTATTTTTATTTTAAATCTTGTATGACATTCAACGAGGTACAGAAAACTATTAAAAGATTAACTTTCCATTAACAAATCACTAGCGTCAATGTTTGTTGGCCGTTGTTTACGATTTTTACATTGTTTACAATAGTAATGCTAATAGCCATGGTAAATAACTGTTTTATACTTGAATTAGACTAACATCGGAAATACTAGTTGTGTTTGTTGGTAAAACAGATTTTTTAGTTTCATTTATTGGAAATTTTGACTTTTTTCAATTTCATTTGTAGTTTTATTTGATAAAATTGTAATTTTACGGACCACAATTTTAATTTTTTAATTTTGACGAATTGACTCTTCTCTGCTTGTAGGTAAAAGTCTACTGCAAAAGAGATTCCCTTATAAATAAAGCCGAGCAGACAGTAGAATCTATTGCAGTAGGAATTCGTAATCGTCAATGCATGCAATAAAAAAATTTTTAATACAAAATATGAAATAAATATTTTTTTGGTATATTTCTTTAAAGTACCTTGTTTTTTACATAAATAATTTACATACAAATGCATAAGATAAAATAAAGCTTCCATAAAGTGCAGGACATTTAAGTGGACAAACCTTCTATGTTGCAAAAAATATACGAATGCATACACGTACGAAAACTTCTATTATTATTATATTTATTGTGTTTCATTTTATTATACATATTGGTTTTTGTAGAGTTGTTCTTAAGTTTCTATATATAGAATTTTCTACATATAATACATTTATAAAATATCTGTATAGAAATAAAAGCAAAATGGCAAAAAAATAAAGTTGGGTCAAACCAATGGTTTGTATTGTAGCACTTTTCCCTTCAACAAGTGAAAATTCTGCTTTTAAATACAGTCTATGTATACCTATCAAACTATTAAAATTATTTTCATTCATATACAAAACTATTTCTAGAATTGCATATATTTAGGATGACGCATATATGCAGTGTTTGAAATAAAGCAAAAATTAATATAAAAAGGGGTTAACATAATGCTCGATTTTAAGGGTTAATTGTGTGAGTTAAGAAAAATAATTATATTTTTTAATTTCATGGAATTTACCGTTAGCTTTTTGCGTTTATAAAAATTTGGAAAAGCTTGCGGTTTCGGAAATATAAGGTGTCAAAAATTCAAATTTTACGAATTTCAAGAGGTGATAACTTGAGAGGGGGTGGAGATAGAAAAAAATTTTCTTCTAACAAAATAAACTATTTGTTAATGTCTAAAAGCTCCTAAAATTTCAAGCTTCTACAGGCTAAGGTCTAGAAGAAAAATGGCATCAAAAATTTGGAAAAAAAGGACTTTAGATAAATTTGAACGGTAAATTTGAACGGCCATTTTGTTTTTCTAAAGTTTAACTATAGTATATCGCGCTAGGGGAAGCAAGCCACTGCCTTTCTGCGTTTGTAAAATTTCAAAAATGCTTATGGTTTCATTGCAACAAATATTTAAAAAAGGCCATTTTAGTGCTTTGGGGGGTATAACTTCTAGAGGGAGGGAGATAGGTAAAAATTTTGTTCTACGGAAATAAGTTTCTAGTGAAGATCTATGTACGTATGAAATTTCAGCTTTCTATCTTAAAGGGTGTAGAAGTTTTGTAAACAAAAAAAGTGTCCACGGACGGACGGACGGACGGACGGACGGACAGAGTGAAACTAATAAGCACTTTTTTCAAAAAATTTTTTGGAAAAGTGCTAAAAACGAATATGAACGAGAAAAAAGCAAAACTAAAACAATCAAATTGAAATATTTAGTTTTAAAAAAGGAATTTCTAAGTTGAGAAAAATTTCCCTTAACCATATTAGAAGAGTATATCTATCTGAAATATTAGAATTAGACAAAAACAAAATTCAATATACTTCTTTAAAATAGAGAGAAAAATATTACATATAAAGAAGAAGACGAAAAAGAAAAGGAAGACCAACCTTTGCAGAAGATGATTTTAATATTCAGATAAACTTTAAAATTGAATATACGAATGCATGTACAATGCACACAAAATTTAATTCGTGTTGCATACATTCACAATATGTCTCTTACGTATACTTTTAACATAGCTGCGTTATACGTCCCATAAGTGAAGTTGAAATGCATGAATTCTGAAAACTTAAAAGATAAGCCATTTTTTTTCTATCTATTCACATAATTATATTAAATTTCATGGAAATTCACTAATTATTTCTCTTTTTATGTACAAAAATGTAAACTTGGCTTCCAAAAGTAATATGGTTTCTTGTACTGTCAAGCGAAGCTTATATATAAAATTTCAATTTAATCGGTTGAATATCTTCTTGAAAATAATTAAAAATTTAAAATCGGCCCGTCACATATCCCAAAAGTTAATGAACCCGTGTCACCCTCCAAGTTAACTCATACATAAAATTTCTTCAAAATCGGTACAGCCTAACTAGAGATGCTGAACATCTCTCCAAAAATGGTTTACTTACGCTTTTCTAGCATGAAGAAACTAATTTCCGCCAAAAACTCCACATGTGAAATTTAGCGCCATCATATAACCTTATTGTGTATGCAATGCGGTCGGTAATAGTTAATATTATAAAGTTTTTCAATATACAATTATCACCATTAAACGCAATCACTGATAGAAAGAAAAACATTTCAATTGACATTCTATACACATTTCTGAAATTATTAAGGTATGTACCTACTAACTTTGTATTTTAACAGAAATATTAATTTCCTCTTTTGTTTGGTAAAAATAAACTATAATTTTCCATATGAATAATTTAAAAACCGAGAAAGTTACACCATGCAGTTATTCATGTTTCAATATTATGAATACGAAATAACAAAATTATATTTCTTATAGTATACATACATATTTTTTCGTTCCCGTGTATTCTATTTGATTATCATCTTTATTTTCCTGTAGGTACATATAATTTAGAAAAGATGAAACTAACAAAAAGAACAACATAAAATTAAAAGCAAATTGAAAAAAAAATGGAAAGAATGGTTGATGTCCAAGCCAAAGTACACAATTATATTACATATGCATAACATCAATAATAAAATGCATAACAACAGGAACAACAAGAGCAAAACCGAAAAGCAACTCAACTTTGGCTGACTATTCTATAATTTTCCATCTTCTACTTCTACTTCTTCTAATCTTCTTTTTCTTCTTCTTCATGTATTAATGATAATTTTGCTTATTGCTTCTGTTTTTGATGTTGCTTAGAAAAAAAAAACTTTTTTGCTTCTGTTTTTTATCTTATAGAATTACATTAGAAAAACATAGTTACATACATATATATGTAGAATTTTTATATATACATGTACACATATCATAATATTATTGAAACTTATCTATATCTAAGGATGTACACCTTTTTCACCATAAGTCAGTTCTTCATTAATTTTAATATACAACAAAACTGGTATATAAACAGATAAATATATAAATGAATATTTATGGAAATTGTATATGATTGAAAATGCAAAATGTAGAAAATTTTATCTATTATCAATATATATATAAATATATATATGACAATAAAGTTCATCATCATTTTATATAAATTTAGACCAACGTCCAGTTATACTTTTCTTCTGGTATCCATGGATTTTTATATT